AATATAATTTGAAAATTTCTTTCAATACATAAACTTAAAAATAATTTACACATAAAAATAAATGTTTCTTTAATGCTGTAGGCCTACATTGGCCACTATCGCTTAATCTACGCCACAGCAGCCACATTGCAACAACACGTAACGGAATCATTGTTTTACTATTTGCTACAGAACCACTGTTTTAATATAGCGCAACACACCTACACCTCACTCTTCCAGGGCTACCGAGTTAGGCCTCTCGCCCACTATACGATTTCGGTCGTACGACACTGTGTCGTACGATATTCTTATCATATGTGTGGTCCTCGCCCACTATACGACACTTTGTCGGATAAATGGCCAGTTGCTCGGTAGCCCTGGAAGAGTGAGGTGTGGGTGTGTTGCGCAATATCTTAAAACAGTGGTTCTGTATCAAATAGTAAAACAATGATTCCGTACCTGTTGTTGCAATGTGGCTGCTGTGGCGTAGATTAAGCGATAGTGGCCAATGTAGGCCTACAGCATTAAAGAAACATTTATTTTTATGTGTAAATTATTTTTTAAGTTAATGTATTGAAAGAAATTTTCAAATTATATTAGTCCATGCATTTTACAAGTTTTTAAATTTACCATAACTATCATAGGGTTATGGGATAGTCTGGTAAAAAGTATGTATGTTAATTGTTTTTGGATTAGTTTTTAAATAGATTTAATTTTATCAATATAATCTACAAAAAATATATTTATATGTTTTAGTGAAACTTTTTTACACAATTTAATTAATAATTGAGATTATACAATAATAATAGCCAAACTCGCATTTTTCAATAATTATTTCGGTATATTTACTCATAAGTGATGCAGTATTTAAACGTAATATAAGGAAAAATCTAAACAAATTGTAAAAAATAAATAGGAAGATCAAAATTACGCAAAATAATGGTTGAAAAATAAGACCAAGTGATATGTCAAACATTATAATAAAAAAGTATAAATGAATTGTAAAAAATATTTATTCACGATAAGAAATACGCAAAGTGATATAACAACTATAATAATGACTAAGTATGAGTTAATTGCAAAAAGTATATATAAGACTACTGGGGAGAACGCACGACATACGATAAAAATCGTATAGTGGGCGAGCGCCCATTTGATTGTGTACGCCACTGCGAGTGAAACAGTCGTACGACAGTCGTGTATCACAGTGGCAGTGGACGACTGCTTCACGACGGTTTGTCGTAGTCGTGAGATTATCGTACAGTGGGCGAGCTCTCATAAGATCCAATGGTTCACTGTGGAAATGTTGTCGTTCCGACACAGTGTCGTACGACCGAAATCGTATAGTGGGCGAGGGGCCTAACTGGCCATTTATCCGACAAAGTGTCGTAAAGTGGGCGAGGACCACACATATGATAAGAATATCGTACGACACAGTGTCGTACGACCGAAATCGTATAGTGGGCGAGAGGCCTAAGTCACATAGCACGATTCAAGGTCAATGACTCGTCAGATGACATAATTTTGTCACGTAAATTTAAACTTAATAATATCTGTTCAATATTGATCATCAAACGAATTAGGGCAATTATTTACTTTATTCTTATTTCAATGTGTCTAAAACACCACCAAATAAATACGAAGTTATACTTTTGAAAAAAATATATTATGAATTATTTATAATTTTTAAACATTATTGGTTTTGGAACTATTATTGAAAACTAATTCAAAACATGCCCAATCATTTAACCAGAACTGGTAAAGTAACAGGTACTATCACATGATTTTTAAGGGGTAACAATAACTTTATTGGTAATAATAAATTTTAATTGAAAGAAAACTACAAACTCAATTAATTGTAAGAAGGTCCTGAATTGTTTCCAACTGAGTAAATTTAACTTAAGTGATGTTCAGGGTTTATGCTATTGCTATATATCTACAAGAATGTCACACGCGTTAGCGTAAATATAACTTTGGATCTGTTCATTATCTGAAGTATTTAATTTGCTACTAGGAAATAAATATAGGTTTTAAATAAAAATACACTTACATATGAGAGTTTCTCAGTATAGACTGCTTTTCAGGGCAATCAAGTCTAAGAATGTAAAATAATTTATAACCAACATTCAATACCGGTATCTAGTACGTACAGTATTATTAACGTATTAATTTGAGTAACCCATGAAGAAGAATCGGTAATGTATTTGAATTTAACTATTTTGTCACCCCATTTCTGTTCCTGTCCCAAGTCGTTGAACAAATTAAAAAATTCGTGTGTTTGGCTAGACCCTCAAACCATCGGCCACTGTACGTGCAATAAACAAATAAATAACAGTTCCTGGGTCCTCAGGCTTTTAAAATACACCCCTCATTCCACTGAGCTTTGCAGTCTTTATCAGTGAAACTCAAAGGCGCCCGAGTCAATGATTTTCCGCTACACAAATGGCCCCAGACACAATGGGCTTCCTTCATCCTTCCGCCTCCTTTTTTACCAATGACTAAACATATGCTAAAAATAATAATTGCGTCAAGTATTCACATATATTTTTTTTCTATTTTTAAAATGAATATTCAAATTATTATTTTAAATATTGTGTACAATCTTTTGACTAACTGGAAATTTATATAATATAAATAATAAGAGGTGGACATAATGTCAAATCCACTTTTTTGGAGGAGGAAATAGTTCAAATCCTCGTCTTATCTTCATCTTGTTTCTTATTAATCTTTATCCATCTTATTCATCGTTGTCCTTTGGTTAGAAATCGCACACGACTAATTTGATCCCGCTAGGGTTGAACCAGTGACCTTCAAATTTGAAAGCAAGCATTGTAACCAATCAACTACCTAAGCCATAATCTTTTGTTCGTACTCAGTCTATGGGGATGGATAATGCCCTTAGAATGAACGTAACGGGAATGAGTATGTTCAGTTAGGATATAATATATACATTTTTGATCATTTACTTGAATGGATACGTACGTAACCATTACGATTTTTACGATGAAACGTATTAGAATAAAGACTTAAGACAGTTATTACAATAGATAACATACCTTAAAAATTTCTAAACTTACGTAAAATAAAACCTTTTGAACAGCCTCTTGTTAAGGTCATGATGGCAAATGAAACTTGTTAAGCACCAATAGATCTTTATTAGATGGCTTCCTATTTATGTTGGATAGGAGTGTAATTTCATATTGAAATTAAATCACCAGCTATTAAGTTTAAAATATACTACAATACACCTGAGCGTCCATTTAAATTTAATAATCTTTTCCTTTATTTGATCATAGCGTTGAATATAATTGGATGGAATCAATTAATAAATAATATGGATTTTAATACATACTCGTTATTTAATTAAGTGGGTTTCATAAATTAGTGAGTACCAATGAAATTACGTACTAACTTTATTGTATAGTTTATACACAATAACAATAAAAACAGACTTATAACCACAGCTGCAATGCGGATTAGGGGGTTTTATAATGTAATGAATTCAATGCAGATACCTGTAACCTACATTGGACTAGATATTTATTGTGATAAAAGTGCATTCGTTGAGTCAATATTTTGAATTGTAAGTTCATGAAAGATGTTATCTTCTTGTAAACTAACTTGTTAAAATTGTTGAAGTGGAGATTAGTTATGTGGTTCGGGAATACCAGCCTTGTGTTATACTTGATATGAAACTAACCGTGGAAACCCTATAAGTTTTATTCATGAAGTGTAAATGTTGCAATAAAATGCGGTATTTTGCTCGTTCTATTTTTTTAAATAGTAAATGCGTAATTTACTGACCCAGATGGTACCTACAATCACTAAAACCTTTATGGACCGCGGGGAACTAGGCCGAAACCCTTATCAGATCATTTATTTGTGTGGCCTTTTAAAAATAATAATGGTGTTTTAAAACATTTTTGTACGAGAACCGTCCAACACCTCTTTTGTTACTATTGATATTGATATTTTCGAACTATTGCAAAATAATCCAATGATATAATGGCACGTGATACAGAACCGACCTTGCTTGCACAGCAAGATGTGGAAGCCGGCCTACAATCAAAATGTAGCCTTCTTATAGTCTGATGATTCATTGTTTAGTGAACTAAGAGCAAATTATTTTGCTTTATGTTTATAGAATAAACGTCATACGTAACAATAATTAAACCATTCAATAGTGCAACACGTAATAAATATAGGAGAAAGGGGTTAGTGTGGTGTATCGTAATTACCCACACTTATCATGAAACAAACTATGCAAATGTACTCCATTTGTAACGCAGCATGTTGCTCATTTCTTTTTGAACTGTGAGGGTGATACCATCAGATATCAGACAAAAGAGCGCAGAAACTCTTTTGAATGTCTAACCGTTGAAGTAATGGCTTCATTGAAGTGAGAGCCTTTGAAATAGCCTTTTACGAAATTAAATGGCAATATCTTTTTCAACCTAAAATGTTTATCTCTCAAAAACTTTCACGTTGTATCTTTTTTCGCGTTGTATTGGATATTTACTTTTAAACTTATTCTTTCTTATTAGATACAATATCTAAATTTTATAAAGCAATGCGTAATCAACCTTTTTTATAATACAAAATTTTATAACACAATTTGTTGTGACTTGTAACTAAAAAAGTTAGGTTGCATGATAAATAATGTTATCAAACGTGCAGGGATGCACTTAGTAAGCCTTAATCAAGACTCAATGAACTAATTGTTATCAAAGAAGTTATCATATTTTATTCCCACAGAATTTAGAAAACCCTTTTCAAAGACAAATTATAGATTGTAATATAAACCCCAGTTGGTGTCAGACATTTTATCATCATATCTACTGTCAATTAATGACTGTAAAAGCTAAAACTGCAGCGGGGGTAATTACTAACTCTGGCAAAATTTTTTCTGTATTTAAAAAAATCCCCCAACTAACGTTAACATTTGCTCAAAGGACTTTTTAACGCACTAAAGTCTATCGATTCGCAACTAGTTTCTTTTCTAACAATTACATTTGTTTTAGACACAACGACTTGCCATGGAACATCCGCAGCTTTGTTCACAACCAGCTGGCTTTGTTCAACTTCTCCGTGGACCTGACCGAGGTGGACCCATGGTCCAGGTCGAACTGGAGTCACACGGACCTTCCAAGGCTGCGGGCAGGACTGGTTGGCGCACAGGTTAGTGATGCTAGTGAATTTACTAGGAGTCTATTCAATTCTAGATTTCTCTCAAATATAAGTTAACTTTATAAAGCACAAGGTGATTATGACGTTGGTACTTTATACTTCTGTTAAGAGTACAGAATATGTTCAAAGACTTTACCAAGAACAGTCATTCAAATGAATAAATACGACAGTTCAAGAAAAGCTAGATGCAATAGGAATGGCTCACCAAACACAATAAGAAATACAAATTATACAAAAAATCTTAGTCATACAAACTTACAGAAATGTTAGTTCATTTAAATTTGTATTAATACTGAAAAATATATTTCTGAAATGGAATAAAGAAAACTAATTTACTAATTCTTTTTAAGAATTGGTGAACTAATATTGAAAATTGGGAATATTAGTGGCGGTAGCGGATGGTCTTACCCCCAGATGGTAATTTGTCTGCTGAAACTAACTGATTTAGCTACGTGAATCCTGAATCGTGTTTTGAAAACTGATATTTTTTGGTTGCAGCATCACTAAAGACTTTTCAACCTAAAAGTTATAAGTAGCCTAAATCTTCTAAAGCACACATGATAATGTGAATTGTCTTTCCTCTGTGCAGTTCTGGTCGGCCTACGTGCCCTGCGGCTCGCAGTACATGGATGCTGTCCACATCACTATGGAGCAAATAGACGTTATACGAAGACTAGTCGAGCTCTATAGCAGAGATCTGCAGTTTGTCTCTTCAGCCTCAGGTTGGTTAAATTATTATCAATACATGAAAACAGTTACGTACTATTGAGTGTGAGAAATCGTTTGAGAACATAAAAACTTTTAGTAGAATTTTACATATACTGTACTGTAGGTATAAATATTTTATATCTATATAGGTATATGAAAATATAGGTATTATATTTTAGGTATAGAGATTACGAAGTCATAATAACCGTAACAAGGAAACCAGATTTTCAAAGGTGAAAACCTAATTATCTTGATAAACGTTTGTTCTAGCTTGATTAAAAGAGATATTAAAAGTTCAACCGAACGGTCGTAACTTTTAATTCAGAGTTGCCGTAACCAATTCATCCTCCTTACCAGGACATTTACTTTGAGCAAGTTACATCTATCTATTTTGTAAAATAATGTTCCAGCTTACTCTTTTCTTAATTGAAAACTTTATGAAAACCAGATTTATTTAGTATATGGTTATATAGTAAATATATACTGTATAGTTATGTTTATTTCGTGTTTTATATAGGACTAGATATGGGTAATAGTAACTTATAGATTATTCTGGTTAATACAGTCCTCTTAATACGTAATACAGTAAATGTTAAGTTAATGTTATAGAGCTTTACAACAAAACTTTAAAAAATCCATATTTTATTGATTTAATTAGAACTATTTGTATGTGAAATAAAAGCTTTCTTTGTTAGTGATCCATTTTGAAAACTTAAGGCCCTCAAAAACTAGTGTATACACTTGTATAAACAACAATACAATTGTTGAGTAAAGTTATGTATTTAAATCATTATTTGTTATCAAAATATATAGCATGTTTTTTAATTCACATTTTAGTTATCTTTTTTGTTTTTTGTTTTTAGTTTGTAAGTACAAACATTACATAATGGCGTGATTCGAAACTCTCTCCTGAAACTCCGAGGGCACGTTCCTTAGGTCAAAACAGAACAAATATGTAATTTAAACATACACCCTAACTCGTTTCGTTTTCCGTCTATCAGTGTGTATACATTTTTATAGAGAGTTTCGAAACACCCTCCCTGTATACTATAGTATCCTACAGTATAGTAAACATCAAGTATCAACTAAAAAAACTCTAATGTAAAACACCACTAATCGTACACAAAATTGTGAGTGGGATGAGAAAGAGAATAGGTGCAAGACAAAGAGAGAAAGTGCCATTGTTTGGTAATTATCAGCTCGTTCCGCCCTCTAGTCCCAACTGATCAATGTATTAGCAGTGTTAAACTGCGTAAATATTAGCGCAAATTGTTTAACACATTATCTTCATTCCTGTTTACATTTATTGACAAGCACAGAGCAGGCAAAATAGCCAGCCTAGTGGGAGTACATGGAGGTCATTCATTGGCTAGCTCACTCGCTGTACCTCGCATGTATTACTCGCTAGGAGCTCGCTATCTTCCTGTTCAGTCTCACACCTTGGTCTGTTATTTTAGGTATTCTAGAGGCTCACAGAGCAGGCAAGATAGCCAGTCTAGTGGGAGTAGAGGGAGGCCATTCATTGGCAAGCTCACTCGCTGTACTTCGCATGTATTACTCGCTAGGAGCTCGCTATCTTACTATACAGTCTCACACCTTGGTCTGTTATTTTAGGTATTCTAGAGGCTCACAGAGCAGGCAAGATAGCCAGCCTAGTGGGAGTTGAGGGAGGTCATTCATTGGCAAGCTCACTCGCTGTACTTCGCATGTACTACTCGCTAGGAGCTCGATATCTTACTCTTACACACACGTGTCATACTCCATGGTATGTATTCTTGATTTTGTCTTCGCATTTCTGAATAGTGTATACATGGTATAGTATACATGGAGATAGTGTCTTACAACAGGTCTCTTGTAGCCTGTTGGACTTTGCTATAAAGTTATTTTTAACACATTGTTGTTTAATAAATTAGATTAATGATGATGAGATTTCCATTTATGGTTGAAAACTGTAAATCACGTACGCTCAAATTACTGAAAGTCAATTGTTTTATTTTATCCATTGGGAAACATGGATTAGACTCTCGTTTTTAGAGTAAAAAGGTGGGATATGCAGTTAAAATACTGGCAAAAATATTTTTCTTGCCCGCTAACTTTACCACGGTTCACTGTTGCATGAATAAAAGGCTTAGTGCTTGGAAATTAAATACATCCAGCGACCGTAAGCTTCTCTCCTCTGGCGTGGATTTGATTTTAATCTTTTTTCAACTTCCTGGTAAATTTGTTTACGATTATTCAAAGCTATCTTGAGTAAGGCTATTTTTGATATACCAACATTTAATCTGATATTTAATTGATGTTTTGTGCTTTCAGTTATCCCAATATCACCAAAAGTCTTTAAAAACTATTTGAAATTTTTTTGCCATTTTGAATTTGATTTTTTAGTGATTTCCCATTTTTGGATTTTGTCGGAATTTGGATATGTTATAAAGCAACATTTTCTTGGTTAGTATGGCTCCAATGGCTTGTAAAGAAATTTTGCCCAGGTTTAAGCGTGATTTGTCTTATTTTACTGGACTAATTTATACATTGAACACTATTTGTTCTGAAACTACGTAAAATGGAGTAAATATTTTGTAATTCAAATATTTAATCGGTTAGGTAAATTTTTATTTATAACACAGACTAGTAATCTGTTATGTAAATAAATATCTGTCAATTCCACCGGTGTGTCTGCGAGCGCAAACATGGCTGGAACTACTGGGGCGAAATATTACACAAAGGTCCTACAAACCTGGCTAACTATAATGTATATACGCAATGCATATGCTTTTAGTATATTAACTGAATGGCTAGCGTTGCACAGCCGTTTAACATGCTTTCTCAGGTGTTAATTATTTACGTGTTCATTAACGTTCGTTGGTTCTTTTACAAAATTTGAGATCTACAAACCGAGTGCTTTAACCCACTCACTGTTACTGTTATTCATGATGGACCTGACATACAGGAGTGTGGGCTGGAAGGGAATGTATTGTGTTAATTTAATAACAAACTAAGTACATAGTTAGAGCATGTTTAAGTCTCTTGAAATTGTTAGTTTTCAACACAAATGCAATTAACAAGAATAATTATTTAAGCCGATGGAAAAACTATTACTGAAAACCAAAAATGAACTCATACTGACCACGTTAATCCTTTTAAATTAGGTCGCTATAAATCTATTTATTGTTATTCCCAACCAGATTACACTCTTAACGACAGTAATGTAACTGAGTAAAACTTTAAGAATAATTTAACTGAGTTAAACTACTGTTATTAAGCACATTTTCTTATTTGTTGTTGTTACGTATATTTTTCTAATTTGAAACACTTCATTATTTCATGCCACTGGTTTTTAGGGCAGGTTGTTGCGTTGGGCAGGACGAGGAGAATGATGGCCTCTCACATTTTGGTTCTGTAAGTATATTTTATTTTGCTTAATAAATTAAGAAAATCAGTACTAAATGATTCAATAGCTTAGGTAGAATACTTGAGTCCTAACAGCGTTCTTAAAATCATCTCACATGAAATAATAAAATGTATGATAATATGAACATACTTGTTTAAAAAGAAAATTGTAAATAGGGTACCGATACATTAAGTACACTTATCTTCTCGTCCCAAGCTTGTAGTTACGTTAGAGTGCAATAATATACACTACAGTTTTTTTTTCAAAGCGTGCTTAAATTTTGTATTATGATACCTGAAAAGTCAAAGACCATGAATGGATATTTATTTGTGTGTAATATTTTTTCATCATCATAATAACGAATCAATGGTAAACATTAAAATGCGATCAATGAATAAAAAATATAAAAAACATCTTAACATTTTCTCTAGCTAAATCTTATTATTGACAAATCATTTCTAATATAGAACAAGTTGCACATTAAATCACCATTTTTATTAAAGTTTTTTTTTATCAAATAAACTATCTACAGTATAAGCCTGCATTGATTAATATTTTTAATTTAACGAAACCACAAAGACTCAGTTTTCATAATCGTGTAGGCTATTCTTTCTGTGAACAAATTGTAAACGCATATTTAATAAACATAATAAATAAAGATCTTTCGTATAACTAAATACACTATAAATAAACACAGCTAAAACGCGAATTTACTGATTTCATCAAAATATAGTTAACAATATATTTGTTATTTCAGCTCTTTTAGGTTTTTAACGCATTTTAATATAATGATAAAGCAATATGCAGTTCAGAACGCAGTTAATTTCAGGTTAAACCGAGTTGAGAGGACAAGTTCCACCTCAGGAGTGTTTGTCGATTGGGTGTTGGTTTTAGGTTGGTACGTTTGTATAACTACATGGAAAGCCACTTAAAAGACGTCAAAGAACAGCAAACATTAGAGTCAACCACTCGAAACCATTTACATTCAAAACTGCAACCACAATTCCCGTAATTCCTTCGAGTTTAGCATTTACAATTGAAAGTCAAATTTTATTTTGTGATGTAAATACAAAAATAGTTTATGTACACATATTGTTATTAGATAACTATAGTAGTCTAAAAGTATTATGTACAGTTTAGATTGATGTTTACATTTTGAAGTGAAAACGTGGAAAGTGAGTTGTAACATATGTGAATTAGCAAACTATTTACAGACATAACTGTTTTCAATTATATTTTATACACAATTATATTTTATTATATTTTTTACAATTATATTTAAAAAATATATAATTTAATCAAAGACTGACCATAAGGAAAAATATATAAACAATAAATTTCAAAGAAAATACTGTACTAAATAATCAAGAGGAAGTCCAGGGAGTATTTTTTGCATTAGTACCGAGAGGTGTTCAAATTATAAATATCGTAATACCAGTAAGCTATATTTTGTAAATCTTTAATGACCCTGAGATAACACCAGACCGAATTTTTGTGGTTTAACGATTATATTCATTATTATAATTTAGGATACCCTTTATATCTATGTACGTGAATAAAAATTACTGTCTGTCATTTAAACCCAAAAGTGTTTTTATTATTTCCAATGTAATATTTTAAATATGCAAGATTTGAAATATGTATTTGGTGTGTTGCATGTAGTAGTATTTTTTGGAATTTCTAAAAACACTTAAAACACTTTACCTGTAACATGTATTATAATGTAAAAATATATAAATTAGTATTTTGTTTTATTATTACTGAAATATCATCGGAAATTTAGTCTTGTAACACTTGACACATAGAGTAATGTTTTACATCTACGTACGTGTATAATCATAAAAATTACCAATTTATTTTAGTCTTTCCAAGGTTAAAATGCCTTAATATTCTGCTGATTAAAAACTCAAATTAAATTATAAAGTTTAACCGGGTTTAAAGTAAAGTTTTTATTTTACGTTGTTTATTTTATTTACTTAGAAGTATGTACATTAATGCAAAAATCTCAAAGGTTTGAAAAGGTTACACTGGACACACGAGTCATTAATCATCGGTTTAATGAATGTGGGCAATTTATCATACGGTTTTTGTCCGTAACAAGGGAACAAGGGGCACTCGTTTTAGGTCATCATTAATTCATAATCATCCTGTTAGCATAAATGTTGGTTAGTGTTTTAATTAATGATTTTAATTCTAAGTGCAAATGAGTTTTAAGCATCATAACCGGTTATAATTTGGAAATTGACAAAATAAAAATAGAGTACTTTGAACAAGTTACGGGAAGTAATTTATTTCTTTATCAACGATTATTAACGTGTTTAATGTTGTAGTAATAGAGATCGATAGTTTAACCTAATAAACTGAATGCTACTAAATCTTTTGGGAAATTAATATTGATATTGTAACATTTAAGCAGCTGGCAATACGTTGGCTTTTTAATTTAAGCATAATGACATGTTTTGTTTAATTGAACTTTTTGCAGGACAACATTAATTTTGAACATGTTTTAGAGATATTTAAAGAGATGTTCAATTTAAAAACAAATTTACATCCAAACAAAATCATATAACTTTGATTATGGATTAAAGATTCTTTCATTTTATCGAACTGAAGCTTAAGAAGTTGCCCTAGGGAATTTTCTTTTTTGTATTTTCATATTTTGTGGTAAGGGAGCTCAACAGGCTAGGAATGTTGGTAGACCTGAGCCACACGTCAGTACGTACTACCACGGAAAAAATACTAGTATGTTTTCTGTGGTACTACGGAGGATGCCCTGAATGTAACCAACACATGCTCCTGTCATTTTCTTACGTTTTATCTTTTCACAGTTGGTAGTACGGGAGCTCAACAGACTGGGAATGTTGGTAGACCTGAGCCACACGTCAGTACGTACTATGGAGGACGCCCTGAATGTCACACAGGCTCCTGTCATTTTTTCACATTCCTCCGCATTTCATTTGTGCAACTCAACTCGCAATGTGCCTGACCACGTGCTCAAACTAGTGGTTAGTAATGTTTTTTTTTTCAACCATGACTTGTGCATGGTGAGCTTTAAAGTAATAGTGTCATAAAATGGGAGTAGGGATAAAATGTACTTTAGTTGTTTTTTTCACTTATATATCTCGTAATTAACTATACAAAACTTTTTTTGTGGAAGAGAAAAATAATGTTTGACAGCCGAGCATACAGAAAACAAGTAAAAAAAAATAAATGTTTCATTTGAAGTGCAACAATACCACAGTCTAGGTATGTTATATGTAGCAACTGTTTCAATTTAACCTCTCTTAAAATGTTATATTGTTTTATAAAAAGCCAACTATTTGCTTTCCTTTGTGCTTTTCGCACACATGCCCATTGGTTCACTCCAACCTTAAAATTAAACAGATCATCTAATTTGCTGTGCTCAAAGAACTTTCGATTATTTATACGTATGACGAAGACTATATGTAAGTAGTCAACAAACTTCAATCTAATTTGTAGGAAATTGAACTACTTAAAGAAACCACATTAGTAAAAAATAAACCACTTCCATCCGTAGGCACATATTAATGCAAAGCATGGCGACAAGAATAAAAAATTCCAATTTAGTCTTCAATTCTAGAATAATATTCATCAAAAACACAACTCGCTGAAGCTTGAAAAGTTGGGAACTGCGAGAATGACGACTTCAACTGAACATTGTGAACTACTTTACAACTAAATTTGCATATTTACGATCGTTCTAAAATGTCATTTGAATCCGTAAAAGTTTTAATGCAGTTTACTCCTTGAATTACACGCTATTCCTTGGATCTTTTTATTGCTGTTGACTTCAAAGTCGTAAACTAGGTCTTGAAATGAATTCTAAAGCATATTTTATGGTTTCAGGCCTTAAACGGGGGGATCGTAATGGTGAATTTCTATTCCATGTTCATAACCTGCAATCAGTCGGCTACTCTGCAGGACGTAATTGGTAAGATATTTATAGTAAAATAAAATATATTTTCATTATTGTGTGTTTTTATTGGGAATTAATTTGTATGATTATTTGTTTCATACTTTCGGCACAAATAAAAGGCGTCACGTTTTTGTATAACTTAACCATATGTATCAAACATGTGAGGTTATCTGTCTTTGTTGTGTTTAATCAACTATAGAATTAACTATAACTTAGTTTAATGGCTTAATAAAAATCGTATCAACCAAATTATATCCTCAGGTGTGTTTTTCTCCTTTAATCTACGGACTCGGTTGTTTCGGCTCGCAATCCTCATTTTCTACTAACGTTTGAGTTTTAATTGAACCGGTTTGGCAGGATAGAATAATTTTCGTTTTCTAGATTATTGGAGCTACAGATTACGATTGTAATTCAAAAACCCTATTCAGAAAAATCCTATGCTCTAACGAACGAATGCCCTGTTGATAAATTCGTTTAAAAACAAACCTACATAATGTAACATTTATTTTTTCAGCTCACATAAACTACATCAGGAAGGTTGCTGGAGAAGACCACGTGGGGATAGGAGCAGGATATGATGGTATTAACTTGTGAGTAATGAAATTCTTAATTTCTAAATTTCTTAAATTCTTAATTCTTAATCCACAACAACCGTTCCATCGTGTTTCCGTTTAAATTATTCTGAAGCTAACGTGTATTTTAATATGTGCTAGTAGCTTTACTTGTTACTTCAGGATGGGAAGAGATCACAAAAGAAACAATGTTTTAATTCAAGAAAACTACTGGAGAAAAATGTGACAGTAGGACTATTGTTGATTAAATATTAATTTAACAACATGATTTGACAAATCAATTTCGTTGCTTGTCTAAAATAAGCTAAATATTTAAAAAGCTCATGCGAGAATAAAAATGATGGATTAAGGTAAATTAAAAGTTCAAAATAAAAGTATTAATCTTTTTGCTATGGAGACCAACCAATTTAACCACCCAAGCCCCAACTCAAAAGTACAAGGTTTCAGGCAGGTCAAAATATTAAAACAGCAACATATTGCAATAGGCATCTATCCAGTAAATTTCAATGGACTTTCATCACAATTGATCCAACAATGTTAGATACATTCGAAGCCTTAGTTTTAAATATTTAAACTTCACATTTTCATTCCTAGCAGGATTGCTGCCTCTTCTTACCATGAATTTAACCATCCAAATGGGTCTCGAATGCTTGTATGTTATATGAACCAAGCAAAGTGAGGACGAGCTGTAGTAAAAGAATAAAGTGTACTTTAAATGGCTGTGTCTTGTGTTGGATTCACAGTTCGTTACGATACCACCAACTGAGCCATTATTTGAATTATTATAATCTGCACGGTGGGACCTGTCTCCTAATCCTCCGTCTACCTGAGACCTGGCCAATGGTGTAAGGCTCGGGCCAGCTCCTGGTACACGAATGATCAGGGGACAGGTCCCATCATACAGACTTTAAGCTTTATTATTTGTGTAAGCCACCAACTCTCCACAGTGTATTTATCTCCCTTAGGCCACCCAGAGGTCTCGAAGATGTGTCCAGGTACCCTTACCTTTTCGCGACGCTTCTGGAGGACCCGAACTGGGACGAGGCAAGACTGAAAAAACTGGCGGGCCTCAACTTTCTTAGGGTGTTTGCCAAAGCGGAAGAGGTACAGTCTAATTGTTTGTATATTAGAATAAATGTTAATCTTACCTGAATATAATACTTGTTTGATATTAATTATTGCTTAGTTAGTTAGGAGCCAAAAACGAATACAGATTTTATTTGTTTTTATAATTAACCACGTGTAGGCCTACATAAATGAGATGTATTAAATTATATTTTGTATTCACTTAGTGGTATACATTATTATCTTGATTTGCCTCATTTATTCTTGATTTGAATTTCTAAATATAATATAACTTGCGTTCCTTCATTTGTACTTGTAGAGGTATATTCTCCCGGCTTAAACAAAGTTTTCCCGCCGTTTTTCAGGTGCGAGACTCCTGGAGCACAGACCCCCAGGCGGTTGCGGAGGAATTATACCCTCAAAGATCCGGTGCGGACTGCGTCGAGGACTCGTGATCCTCCGAGGATCTTAACTAGCTTACAGGACCAACCAATAGTCGCGCTGCTGTAGTAACTCCAGGATGTATTGAGGGTATGCGATTTGCGTAAAGCACAATCAATGAAAGACATAAAGATTGTTAGACTCTGCTTAAATTGCAAAAGCTGCATCATTTAAAATCTTCAATTAAATATGAAAATAGCTGGATGATTTCAAACTTTGTAATACATTTTGCATTGTATTCTGTTTTTTAAGCTGAAACAATAATTGTTTACCCAAAAAGGGCTAAAAATTTAATCCATAATCTCAAGCCACCCGTATTAATAATTGTAAAACCTTGAAAGTAATTTCAGTCAGTTCAATTTGCCTTGGTTGTAACTTAAAATGACATATTTTGCAACAAATATGTTTCAATTATGAACAAATCTAAAATGAATAGTTTACATTTATGGCTTAAACAATATTTTGAGACCAAAAGCTATGCTATAGCTTATAAAGGAATAAAATTGCTGACGCTGAGTACAAAAGTCTTTCCCAAACTCCAGTGGCAGTTTTAAAGTTTATCGTAAGAGAATTATCCAGTCCCTGATTGTTTCTTGTTACTATCTAAAGACAACCCTTTGTCAGATAGCATATTCATTGATAGAGAAATGTACAAGAACATATCTGGACCCAGAATCAATCCCTCTCTCAAATCTATTCAAACTACAGCATTACCGGTAATATTTAATTTGTAGATGAGCATTACAATCACTACCAAGACAGTTTGAGTTCGACCTTTGGTCGTTGAGCTGGCATGAAAATTGCGTACACATATCTAAGAAATTTGATATATTATAGTTTTATACCCTCAATATGGCCTGGTATACGATCAGCTGTGCTGATTATAAGTATTAACCAATAGTGTAATGTTAATAGTTACTGCCAATGTATTATTGCTCAGCCATAGTTGGTACACAGTCCCGTCGCCTCCCTGATGCCTAAACTAAACAATACATTGTTGGAATTGTTTTGTACAGCGAATGATAAACTCAACTATTTACATATATGAACACTTTTAACCTCATTTTTTGCGTACACCTGTAAAATGTGAAAGTTTTTCAGTCAATTTTTCATTTCCATATCCATGATAAAACTGGCTACAACCTTAACAAGAGAATGTTAATTATACTACCTTGTCAAAGCTTAAGTACAACATTTTATATAATTGGTAAATATTTGAATATCAATCAAATTTGTAACGTTTATTTGCAATTGGTATGGGGAATTTACACGAACTAAAAATAATATTCATAAATATATTATTCAGAATTTTGTTAACTTTGTCCACTACAACGAATAATCACTAAAACCTCTTATACCTGTTTAACATTATGACACCTCAAAGATAATATGTCTCCCCCAAACCCTTTTAGTAGGTAGATTTTGTTCGTAACACATAAATAAATTTATTGATTAATTTCTTTACAAAATGGAGTATATTTTTAATTACTAATATTTATATTGCTATAAATGGTGCTTAATGTTCCTGGGCTGGCGGCGGGATTTCTCACTGTTCAAGAACACCCTCTTGCTCTGATGTTCGTTTCTTGTTTAGTTGGCAAACACAATAAAATATTTTGTATAATTTAAACTTCAGCGTGTCATTTAATAAGACTGTGTTTGCCAACTGAACGAAAAACATTTCGTAGTGTAAAATAATCCTGCCAGAACCCTGGATTTCTATCTTCATCGTCCCAATTCCTTTATACCTTTCGTCCGGGTTTTAGGAGGGAGTGTACTTTTGTATTACGGTGATGAATGTAAAAATCCGAAACATAGGAAGGGGCGTCAAATGTGAAGTAGGTGTGTAGACTTACTAATATATGTTTTTCCACCAATTTGAAAAAGTAAAATTAAATATTTTAACAATTATTTAGAGGAAATTAAAATTGTACAGCTTTAACATTGTCTCATTGCTGTTATTCGAAGTATAAGTACTGTAGGTTGTATTTAACCAAAATTATCTTGGCTTTCGATGAAAGATATCTTTAAACAAAGACAGTACTTGTCACCAAATTTACTTATTTTTACTTGATATTAAAACCACTGGATAACGAGGCTTCCGAACCATCGAGTTGCAACATTACCACTTAGATAAAGATGGTGATTGGCGTGATTTGAATCCAGATTTTTAAGACATAAGTCCCAACTCATTCTATTTTGGTGAAAAATGATATAGGCCTACTATTGAAAACAACTAATCAACAAAAACCAGTGGTTGTAGATTTTCTCTGAAGGTGTCCTGTTCAAACTAGTCTTAACTTTTAGAATGTAGCAAATGCATTGCATTGTTAGTGATAAAAAAAACTAAGTCAAATATGGCTTGAAACAATATACTAATACTTTTTAAGTCCTTTACAACTAAAACCCATTGTTTATAACAGAACCATGGACAACGCTCTTGTAAACTGTATGTAACTGTATTATTGTTTCAAAATCAACTTTGGATACTACCCGCTTTTTGGCGCCTCTTCATAAAGCAGATATTAGGTAGTATTTAAGTGTTTTGGATTGCGTTTTGTTCATTTGGTCGATTTTTATCCCAGCGATGCGTCGGCTCCTGGGGGCGTAATATTATCTAACCACGGCGGTTCGCCCGTCAACTTCAGTGAATGTTATGTGTTTTGTTGTCGACCTTACTGTATTGTACATTGACTCAGTGGGGGAAACAATGGTGCAAGGCCACGATTTTCTGTCATGGTTCCCCTACTACACGATAGCGTATATAAATTGTTGCCACATTTCATAGTTTAACCTATCCTATACTGTGTATTGTTTTATAAGATTATTTTAGGAGGTTGTTTTATAGAAACTGATACAATCATATTTAGAGAGAGTTTTATAAGATGTTACTGTTTGACGTGATTAAAGGAGTGATTGAGAGATGGTTCATGGTGGCTTGTTGGAAAAATTAGTTATTTGCGAATATGAATTTTGACGATTTACTATTTTTTACAGTCCTTGGAAACTAGTTTTTCGTATTTGTTTTTGAGGGTTTAGATTGATGTTTAAATGTAGTGTGGAAGTTTCAATTAATTTATTTTCATAAAATAAATGTCATTACAATTTCACGTAGATGTTACAGTTAAGGTTCTAAGTAGTCTTAAAAAATTATCTTTAAGTTTACCAATATAGGAAACACAGAAAAAAATACATAAAACAGATGTCAAACCTCCACATACACACAAACACACCATAAAATACACTCAAAAATACTAAATGAATACAATGAATTCACTATGATATACAGCACACGATAGAACACTCGGAAAAAAGTAAACCAAACAAAAGTAAAAGAAAGAAAACCTATAAAAAATAAACAAAAGATATACAAATTAAAATGTACTAAAAATATTAATCAAAGTACATAAGAAAAACAGTTTTTCTCTTATATAAATAACCATTGTAAGTAGTTCGTTAAAATGAAACAGTTATATTATAAATATTTTAGACAATGCAGACTGAATTTCCAACAAGCCACTACTAGAATGTTTTAAATGTGTTGCCTAGAAGGCCTACGTATTCGTTTTAATTTCTCAATGTTCTAGCCGATGTCCTAGAGCTTGGGCCGTTTCTGTTCGTATGACTGTGAATAAACTCTATATAAATAGTTATAAAATAGGATTTCTTAAATTTTGTACCTGAATATTTTAACAGTGTACATAAACTATGGTACATAAACTGTTTATTACGTAGTATAGTTGTAATTTTATGTAGAATATATATCTGGTTTGTTCGGAACTACGTTATAAAGCAGACACTGTGGTAACTGTAGATGGTTTAATTATTCTAATTTTCAAAATAAAAAACCACGCAATTTCATCTTGATAGAAAACATAAAATAAAATACTTTTACGAGATAACTTATTCTGTTAGCATTTCACAAGCTTGAGCACATCTCGCAAATTATTACGCACGCTTTCAGACTCGACTAGATAAAAAAAAATTAATATTATGTTACGGATTTTATTTTGAAGACACATTGTTTACAATCTTCTGTCTTTTTTAAAATTTGTGCTAAAAAATCATCCCATGTTATAATACAGTAATTAGAAACAGTTGAAATAACAGATTTAAAATGTAATGCCTCTTATTTATCTTGCTTTGTGACAAAAAAATATAATTTACAAATATAATTTTACCAAATTAAAGAAGCTATGCACTTGCGAAAGTCATTAATATTTAATGATAATTTACTTTATCCTTAGACATGTATACTATTTAGTTGCATAAAACCTTGTAAAACAATTTAACAAATAAATGTATTAAGATGTATTAGTATAAATTGTGATGATTATAAAATATATTAAATATTAAGTTTATTATAGCATTTATTATTAGCATACATAAATTAATTTATAAAAAAATGTGTGATTCACAGGTTAACGAAATAATTTTGTCTTTCCATTAAAACATATAATGAAAAAAATACATCAAATACAATTTTGCAGTTTTTTGGACTATATCTCCTGATCATAATTAGTATTTTGCCTTTTATAATATGGTTTTTAAACTGAGCTTGTGTTATAATGTAGCCTAATCTTTTGTGTAAATCGAAGTATAAATAAAAATAAAAGACTCTAAAATGAGATTCATAAAGTTTATAAAACTGTTTTACGTGAGAACTTTAAATAAACGCACAAACTAGTCTAATTTAGCCTCTGTATCATCGATATTTTGGTCCCTCGATGCTAAGATGTACATCAGACCTAAATGTAAAATAAACTATTGATTAAATTCGTAAAAGCTTGCTTTAATAACCTTATTCCTCCATGATTATGTAATACGTAGTAGGACATGTTATTAAGGAATAAAATAAAAGATAGCTTCTGAACGAGTTTCGCGTTCTTAGTTATAACATTGACTACTGACCTTAGTGTTTATATAGTCATTGGTTATAATAAATGAACGTATCCTATACGAGCAATATGAGCAATATTTGCTTGTATGTATACTTGTATGTTTCTATTTATGCTTGGACCAAGATCTCGATCTCTTCGACGAATTCCTTCGAATGTTGTAAATCATTTATTCCTGGCCTAAAAAACGTGTTTAATACAGTTAAAACTGCCAAATAAAAATCTAATTACTTAAAAAATGAAACTGAAAGTCAACATTTTTTAACATTCGCCTTATCGGTTGCTAAGTAACCGTGTTAGTTGAACAAAATAAAAAGGACAAAGTAAACTAAAGACTTGTAACTTGTGTTTTTAACAAGCTGCCACCAGTATACTAGTAAATTTAAAATGCAGTACAAAAGGAAACCCAGTTTTTACTATAGAGGATGGATTACACTGAAGATTACTCGATATAGAGTTACAAACGATGGACATTAACTACCAAGACATGGCTCGGTCACCCGGTATTGCTACACACATGAATGCTATTTCATAGGAAGTAAGGCTTCCACGGTCACAATTACTAACACAAAGTCCTTGTTCTTCTGGGAACGACCTCGTCGGAAATCTAGGAGACTAGCAACTAGTGTTTCTCCTAGTTTTCCGTAGCAACTAGTGTTTCTCCTAGATTTCCATAGCAACTAGTGTTTCTCCTAGATTTCCGTAGCAACTAGTGTTTCTCCTAGTTTTCCGTAGCAACTAGTGTTTCTCCTAGATTTCCGTAGCAACTAGTGTTTCTCCTAGTTTTCCGTAGCAACTAGTGTTTCTCCTAGATGTCCATAGCAACTAGTGTTTCTGTTAGTTTTCCGTAGCAAATATTGTTTCTCCTAGATTTCCATAGCAACTAGTGTTTCTCCTTGTTTTCAAACGCGGTCGTTCCCAGAAGACCAAGGACTTTGTGTTGGTAAATGATATTTATATTTTAACTCATGATATTCAATATTAATTTGAATTACAATGGTATTTCCAATAAACACTTGTAACATTAAAAATATTTATTCTTGTATACTATATTATAACATCAAATATTTTCGAATAATTCTTGTAAATTTAAATAGGTTTACTAAAATCTGTTAACCTGTAAGCCTAAATTTGTAGTAGTAATTAAGTTTATATTTACCTTTGTATTAAAAGTTTTTATTGTACCTACTACATTTAATTTATAATACAGTTACATGTGTCCACAAAATTACTCATAAAATTTCAGCTGATGTATACTTTTATATATTTTTCATCACGTTAGTTTTTTGAGTTATGGAAGTCGTTCTTGGTCCCTGGTGCTTTGAGTATATGATAAAGCGCTATCTTTCCTGTCGCCCCGCATATCCATTTTCCCTTTATCATGTACCGAAGGCATTTTAGATATAAAAGAAATATGTTAAGCCTTACGATCAGTATACTGAGGTCTGGATTTAACTGCACCTCTACCAAGAAATCTCTTAAGCTCTTAATCCCTCAACTATTTTTGCTTGTATTGTTTTTCATAAAAAAATAATTGATATAGTTCAAGGAAGCTAATGCAAAATCTTTTCAGCCATCGTGGTTTTCAGGAAATACATAATTGAACGGTATTTGAAGTTGTAATACATTTTGAAACCAGATAGCTTTTATTTTAAAATATGTAACGAAGTAGTAAAAAAACAACTACCGAAGGTTATAACCTAATTTGATTTAATATCTGCCAAATTCATAGGTATAGCATTTTTAATTTGTCAAACTCTTTCAGAGGGAAAACTTCATTCTGGTTATAATTTATACATGGAAACAATCCTAATACACTTTTCATGTATGTTTAATACATAGGTGTAAAATTAAGTACAAGTTTTAAAATCTTGCGAAGTTTTTTAATCTTATCTGGAAGGAACAGGTTTTAGCCTCAAAACGCTTCATCTGAATTTGACAGATTGATAATTTCAATATTAAACCTATAACATGTTCAGACTCCTGCAGGCTATTGGTCAGTTCTTCAGGAAGGCTACTCTCTTAAAAGAGTCTACCTGTATGCCTTAAAAATCTCCTCACAGTAAAACATCTTATTGAAAAGTCTCTACTATACAAAACACTTTTGGGAATTTTACCCAAACCCGTTCTCAGGAGAGAATGTACCCACCCAAGTTGAAAATTTCCATAAGAAAAACTACACAAAAAACTATAAAGGGGTAAAAACACAAAAATGTCCAAGAGGAAACTTAAATTACAGCAAATAAATGGCAGGTGAATAGAATCCACTCGTCTGCACGAAAAGCACAATTTTGTGCCCGAAAATTAAGCAACAATACTTTAGATGACATAAACTTACATAAACATCGCCAAACACAAACTTCAATCGAAGAAGTTCAGGATTGATAAAAAATATTCTGACTTAATGGAGGTAATTCTCTACTATTAGCTCAACAGGTTTTTGTTGTTTTTCGTAATATTTGATGCATTTATTTCATTGTAATGTAAGAGAAGCTGGTAGCCTCTTTGAACAGCCTTTTTAGAAATTTCCCAAAAATACGTCTTTTTAAATGCTTGGAACGTAACCAGTACAAAAAGAATGAGTCGGTTCAGTGAATGAATTAAATGAACTGTTTTATTTTTAGTCATGTCACCGGCACAACGCTGGCTTTGTTCCACAGTGTCAATCTGCTGTGTATAACTTATTACAATTATATAAATTTAAAAACTGATAAAATTCAAGAAAAATTAACAAATAATAAATATTAATTATTTAAAATGGTGGGATCGATGAACACTCTAAACGCTTAAAATATTTAAAGTAGGCTAAAGTAAAGTTTAAACACATTTTTCACAATTTTCTGCACATCCAAACATATTATACAGAGAATGTATGAAAGTAGAGGGCCCTTGTTATGTCTGTAGTATTCACAATTGCTAGCTCCTTAGTGCTTCTTGTTAGTGGCTTTTGAGTCTGGACTTGGCCATTATATCGACTTCTGGGGTAAATTTTTTTGTGGAAAGAGAAAAAAAAATTTATTGTGTCTGCTAAAATGTTTATACTATTAAGAAAGCCAATATTTTGGGTCATCGGATACATAAAATTCCCAAGTAGTCTAGGGTTCGCCTTTTTCATAAACGTATCTAGACGTAGCAGTGTAAACCATTGGTCGTACGTCTAAATAAATTGTTTTACTGTAGTACTACATGTGTTTCAACAAGATTTCGGATATTGATTTGCTGAGTATCCATCACTGAAGTATGTAAACCGTAAATATAGGATTATTCATTATCAAAATTCGAGCAACATATCCTACCAGGTTCAAAGTTTAAAATTTAAAACGTACAATTCGATCGTCAATGGTGTACAGTGGGTTTTTGGTTTTTGTCATGTACCAATCACTGGCATTACTGATGCTCCTACATTCACGTCAGGAAATTTACCATATGAGCCTAGAAATATGTACTTCCGATTTACCAAAATTAGTGGAAATCGCAAGATTTTTTTATTGGGTAAAGTTAAGATGGTAAAACATATACAGCATGAAAATACGTGTCCAACCAAAAAGAAATATAAATAATTTATAGACATTAACGTTTCATTAGGTAGTTACAGTACCTCCTAAATGTCTTAAAAATTAAAGTTAAGTATTACAATTCAATACGGGATTTTGCTCGATAGAAAAGCACATTTCAATTCAGTAGTGTACGAATATTTATTTCGAAAAGTAATTGGAAAAACAATAAAGTAAAACAGAAAAATGGATTTACTAACAAACAACACATATGTTTATTCTCTGCTTTTATTTTTCCACACGAAGCTAAAACACTATCAGTTGTTTGCTTTCGATAGTCAAACAAAACATGCAACCCAACATGAAAGCCTTACACCCTTTATTTTCCCGCTCTTTTTACACAATATAATAAAATAGTATTCAAGTTCATATATAATTGTTTACAAGCCTATAAAAGATTTTATATTTGAGTTAACCACTTAATGTTTGTAGCATGGATTACAGACATTATTTTATATGGTCAAATTCATTGTATGAATAGCGATTTAATATGCAGCCATTATCTTAACTATGTCTACTATCAACTATTTTAATTTGAGGAGTGCTACTTAGTGCCATTAAATAACTGTTGCTTGTGTCCTTACTTAAAAAGTTTATAAACTTGGAAAAGGATACTAAAACTGAAATAAAACAAGAAACTTCTATTTCAATTGTCGTTTCTTGTGCCCTTAATATGTTTGTAGAAAAAAATCCTTTAAAGTTAATCTTGAAAATGATTTAAGAATTATTTAGTAACCCGGTTGGTAAAAGTTAGTAAAGTGCATATTAAATGCATTCGTTGTTTGGTTTTGGTTAGGAAATCAATTTGATTTATTTATAAACGTTATAATATTGTACTTGTTTTTTAACAAGCC